GTATTATGTTAATTATTAGAATAATATTAAAAAAAAATGCTTGATTTTATAAGTTTCTTTGAATTGAATTATGTCTTCCTTTAGCAAGGTTTTAGTCGTTAGTTTGAGCAGTAAGCTACATAAATTTGATAATCGTTTCAAATACTTTGAACATATGTTTTGAGTATGTTTCTTGTTTTTCAGTAATATGCAAAATGTTCATGCAAATTCATTCTGTAGCATAGTATTGAAATGACATTATAGTAATAAATATGTATTAAATATTGTTGTCTGTATGTCTATTCTATTTTTTATTTTCATAATTTTTTTGTAAAATAAAAAATCTGAATATTGTTAGTCTGTTCTATAGAAAACAGACAAATGATCGTAAATATGATTTGCATCATTTATTCTAAAAGTAAGAATAAATTTTATTGTCATTGTCAATGAAAGGAGATCAAATAATTTTATAATACAAATCTTATAAATTTTCAAAGATTGAATAAAAGTTGAAAAGGCAGAATACTCATCTATTTGTGTAGTTCTAGTTTATTTTTCTGAATTATTTATATTTATGTAGTATTATGATGCTCATACTTAAAACAATTATACAAAATTGTTTTTGATATGATCTTATTTTTTACTTAATATCTTAAAGATTAATTTCATATTTTGAACCAATAATAATAATTATTATTATTTATTTAACAATAATTAAATAGGAAATTCAACTATTTATTGTTAACAATTAAATTCCATTTACATAAATACAAATTACAATTAATATGTTTTATCAAATAATCATCGAGATTTCGGCATACATAAGAGAAATAATCGATAAGTATTATTTGTTTTTGATAATAGAAATCTTAGAAAAAGTTCTAATTTGACAGTAATTATCTTATGGTTACTATGCTAACATTTCTATTGCGTGTGACACATTGTTGCTAGATAACTGTCACGTCGGTGACAAGCCATTTCTAACGTATCTGTTCAGTCTAGGGATGAGAATCCAACGTTTCTACCTGTAAACATTTCAGCACTCCTTTCAGATCATGCTCCAGAAAAATTGAAAAATGGCTTCTTACGCATATTAGTCGCTGTTATTAGAATTTTTGTGTGTCTTGGATCAATTCTTTGAGTTAGGATAGATTTCATACGATGCAGAATTTCAAGGGTTTCCAGGAACTAGATTCATCTATTTGTAATACTATAACTCGACGATGCTTGAAACAACTTATTAGTAAAAAGATGACTGTCAAATGTAGAACCTCGCCCCTTTGGAAGACTGGAGATTACAGAAACTTATTGTAATGATCAGTAGTATAGTCCATTTTCTAGGAAATTCTTTTCTGACTCAAAGGGAACGGTTAAAGAAAAAAAAATCTCAAGAAAGCGACCAATATATGCAAGAAACCATTTTTCGGTTTTTTAATGATCTAACCACAAAAAGTCGAATATTATTATACGGACATTTTTAACAACTGCGTCAGAAACACTTAATATTTTGGATTTATTAGATTCTCGTCATTATCTTTGATTTACGCTAAAAAAACATCGAAAACAAACTTTAGGAACCGTTGATCTCTTGGAAAGTATATTGTATGTTATGCCTTAAAAAAGCAAAATAAACATATTCTATTCACTTGAATCTTTTTAGCGTTTTTATTAGGACATAATCTACGAACAAACTTAAATGAAAATCGGAGATGGAGAGCGCCTGGCCAAGTTCTTTCGTCAGTTGCTTTTTTATTTTCTCATACATCAAGCGAATTCAAATATTGACAAACTCTTGTAATCATTGACATATATATATATGTTTAAATAAAACAACCAGTTCTGGTAAATTTTTATTCTTCATCATATATCTTCATTCATATTTCACAAAAGCAAAGAATGATAGAATACCGAAAACATGACAACAAAACAATAACAAATAACTGTATTTAATAGTCTTTGTCACGAGGATCAAAGATACGTTTTCCAATTGGAAGCGAAGCCCCATTTGTTGGTACTTGTAATGTCGGTTCATCACTTGGATTAAATACTCGTTTTAAAGTGAATTTCGTTAATTCTTCACTTAGTATGACTGCTTCTCGTAATTGTTTCATTGATATTTTGAGGGAGAGATGATCTGTTACATCTGAAATTTAAAAGCTCCATAAATGCGAAAACATCGGATTTAAATCCGAGTGTTATGTGTACTTTAAAAAGTGAACAGGTATATTCACTTTGTTTTTTTATCATCTGAGACATATCTAGTCAATTTGCTTTCTTCAAGCAGTTTTTTTGCATTTTTAGACCTTTTTCAGGGGATGTTTTGTTAGAAAAGCTACGATTTGGTTCAAAACTAATATCAGATTCGGAATCAGCGTTAAAAACTGAGTCAATTTATATATGTTGTGAATAATTCGGAGAAAAAAAATTTTTTTTGAAAAAATCCCTGTACCCCCCCTCAGGGATGATCTTCTCAATAATGACAATTTTTTCGATAACTCAGCCATTTCTTGACGGATCCTGCTCATCTTCGAACTTGACCGAGACATTGTTAAGACTGAATTGTGTAGAAAATTTCATCATGATCTGACTCTCCTTTCGAAAGTTATCGTGTAAACGGCCGGCTGGACATACTGACCGATTCTAGAGTGTACTCACTTTTTAAGTACACAAAAACTACTTTTTCGTACTGAATGAACGTTCAGATTCTGTGTATCTCTCTATTCTAAATGTATTAAATCAATGTAATCTTAAGTGAAAGAAATTTTTAATTAATAAAAATCTACTTTTAACTAATTTTGATTTATTTGAATAAAATTAATTTCTTACCCATTGCCAAGCATTTTGAAGATTTTCAACAGTTGGTTGTACCATTGTTGGTTTAAATCTTAATAAACCATCTTTATGATTTGTTCCAAATGCAATAATATTAAAAAATCTTCTACCAAATAATTGTTGTTCAAGTAATAATCTTAATGAATGTTGTATATGTATAATATAATCTCGATTTGCTGATGAACAATCAACAAGTAGAATAATATTATATTCAACAATACTTCCAAAAATTTTTCGAGATGATGAACATAACCATTCCATACGTTGTTCATATAATTCAACTAATTTTTTTAAACGTTTTTGATATTCATATAAACCTGATAAATCAACATGCACATTTTTTACTGTTCCATCATGCCAATCAACTTGAACCATAGCACGTTCATGTACTTGTGATGTAACTGTTTTACCAAGTATTGGAATATAATCTTCACATGGCGAATAAGCATTTGGAGCAAGAATTTGAAATAATGTTAATTTTTTAGCAAATAAACCATGTTGAGAAAGCCAATTAGCTGATGTACGATAAACAGCAGGATTATTACTTGATAGAACAGGTATCGGTTGTTGTTGTTGTTGTTGTCTACCTGTGCTTGCATCACGCTATAAAATAATAAAATCTTATCAGTACAATCAATCAGAGGGACGAATTATGAAATTAACTTAGTGTTTTATCAAGATTTTCTCTTCTGAATGGGCGATTGAAAACTCCGGGAAGGGTCAAGTCGATCTTTGGAGAGAGGAACTCTTTCGCTGGATAAAACAGGAAATTCGCATGTATTCTTGAGCCTTATCATATTTTTTCCTATGCGAGTCGCTCTTAACTTAATATTATTCAAATCATTGATTTAAATGATAAATAAACCTCTTGTGCACTTTCATTATATCTATAGCAGATCTCCACACACAATTATAACGGATGGGCTCAAAGTTTTAAGACAAAATGTTTTCTAGATTCGAAATATTTACTAGTCTGACCTTTTTCAAATTATGAGCGAATCTATTGAACATTTATCTACCAAATGATATCTTGATAAGTAGTTTTCCGTACGGTATCTTACAAACTATAAAAATTTTGATAAGAGGCATAATGATAGATTTTGAATATAAATTTTTATCTATGTAAAAATCAGCAAGTGTTTTTAAAAACATTCAACAATGTATTCTAGATATTCAAATTTTGAGGAAGACTTTAAAATGTTCTAAAACCGTCTAACAAGAGAACAAGGAATTCTCTTCGTAAACGTTCCATACGGATTTACGATCATTTTATTGAATTTTCACCTGAAATTTTACCCATAACTAGGTTTCTTGATGCTGAGCATATCCTGAAAGTTTCAGTTAAAATGTTTGATTCCTTCTTGAAATATTCAAAACAAAAAAAACCAATCATATGTCACAAAATGAAGTGATCTTCACTATTCAATATGTTGAGAAGGAACCATCGGATTTAGCTGAAACTTTCAAGATATTCTAAGGATTCAGAGGCCTATTTATGAACAAAATATTATTTTGATCGGTGATTTCAGTTTAATGAAGAAAAAAAAACACACTATTTATAAACATACGTTTTTAATCGAAGAACTGGCTGATTTGTATGATGATGCAACTGAACGACCAGCAACACTAACAGTATCATTAAAACGAACACTAGCTGCTTTTCCATGTGATCGTGATGATGATAATGGTCGTCCTGTTGTTGAATTTGATAAACCACGTGGTTGTCGAGAATATATAATTGATGATTGTCCAATAAAATGTTGAGGAAAAAAAAGTGGTTGTTCATGATTAGGTGGACGTGGAAGAAATTTTGATTGTGGATAACGTGACATTTCAATATTTAGCTCATTTTCAATTGATATAAGTGCTGAACCAAGTGCACCATGACGCATATCATTAATACGTGATAAAAGATCATAAGCACGTTGAATTTCTCGTACAAGTAGACGAATATCTGTACTGTTATATATTTGACGTGGTTCATCACGTGAATAACAATGATATGTATGTTTAACGACTTCCGGAATATCATTTGTAAGATTTTGTAATGAACTAGAAAAATAAAAGAATTTTTCTTATAAGAAGAGTTTCTAATAAGTTTTGATCTCTTTCAAGTAATTTTCTTTTTTAAGTAGAATAGGCTTCACATGGATGAAAAAATTATAGTTATTCGATCAATCTGTAACTTTTAGTTTTCTGTTTATTACTTCTGCGTTCTGTCATTTGTTCGCATGGTTATTTGCAGAAAAAAAATTGTAAGATATCCTTTTGTCTGATGTTCGTAATGTGCAGAAACTATAAGACTTACAAAGGTACCTCCTTAGGTGTTCCCTACTAATTTGATACTTTTTTTTTGTTTATAAATACTGTACAATGTTCTAATAAAAACTCTAACAGGTATTGAAATTTGACGAAACTATCGAATTGTTAATCTGTCTATTTTCTAGGAGCATGTCGCACGTTTGTTTGCACTACAACCGATAGTGCTTCCGGTTTTTTATTGTGTACTCAAAAAGTGAGTACACTCTAGAATTGGTCAGTATGTCCGGCCGGCCGGCCGGCCGTTTACACGATAACTTTCGAAAGGAGAGTCAGATCATGATGAAATTTTCTACACAATTCAGTCTTAACAATGTCTCGGTCGATTTCGAAGATGAGAAGGATCCGTCACGAAATGGCTGAGTTATCGAAAAAATTGTCATTATTGACCAGACCATCCCTGAGGGGGGTACAGGGATTTTAAAAAAAAAATATTTTTCTCAAAATTATTCACAACATATATAAATCGACTCAGTTTTTAACGCTGATTCTGAATCTGATATTATTTTTGAACCAAGTAGTAGCTTTCTAACNATTAATATTGGTAATTTATTAGGAAAATCCTGATGCCTGTATCTATGATATATCTCTTATAGATTGATGAGGTTGCTTACGATCGTAATCCTGCTAGATACAAACGCAAATCCATTCAAAAATAACTCTTCTTACCCAATTTTCCAAGCTAAACACGAATCTGAACTCAATTCCTGTGATTTCTAAAGATATAATATCACTGTGAGGGTAGAGTCAGTGGTCACCGGATAGGGTCGCATACAGTATGGCCCATGCTAACTTAGAACGTCTGTATTTTCTCCTTGCAATTTAGTGATAAAAAACACAGTGAATATACCTTTTCACTTTTTGAAGTACACATAACACTCGGATTTAAATCCGAGGTTTTCGCATTTATTTCAACTATAAACGATTATAGAGTTTTTGGTCTAAAGTTTGTCTCATAGCTAGCTCTGATTTTGGCTCTGCGGCTAGTATAGACGGTCCGGGCACATCAGTATTATCAGAGAGCATTGAAATCATCTCAATTCTATCAGTTTAAACAGATTTCACAAAATATTTACTTTGTTTTAATACGATACAACACTTTCGATAATAACATCCGATAATTTCCTAATAATTATCACATGAGTAGCTTTCATAAAAAAAAAATGCAGAAATTTTTTTAATGGAAGCTAGTCTAGTTGAAGTATCTATATGCACAAAATTTCAGATCAAAATTCGAAAATACAAGTTTTTCGAAACCTTGAAGCCTCTAGAAAAATGTTCGATTGCTTAGTTAAATCTCAATATCCTTTTGAAATTTTTCTTAGAGCATTATACAGTATTTATAGACGAAAAAAAAACAAGAATCATTGAAATCGGAAGAGGACATCTGAGCATATGCAGTCATTAATTATTAAAAGTCAATGTATTTGATCATGTACCTCGTTTGTAGATTTTGTTGTTTCTACACATTACAAACACGAGACAAAAGAAAATCATACAATTTTTGTCTGTTAATAACCGTGTAGACAAATTAATTGAATAATTATAATTTTTTCATTCGTGCTTTTTTATTAATACAAACCTTAATGGATTATGTGGTACAAGTGCATTTGATGTTGATTCAGTATGATTACGTGCTGATGCTAATGAAGCAAAAGCACTAGCAGATGCAGTCATAGTTTTAAGTAATGCATTTACAAGATGATGACTACAATCATAAGATACTGCATGTATATGTGGTATATCTTGTCCACAAAATAATTGTGATATATAATCAGCAATAACATCAATATTTTGATCAGGTAAACTTCCAACAATAAGTAAAAGTGTATCAAAATCTGACATTAATGATACACGACGTAGAGCTAAAAAATTTAAAAAGCTTTTTGATTTAACAAAAAAAAAAGAAAAATAAATCGTTTTTTTTTGTTACCTTTTAATAAATTACTACTACCATTAGTTTTAAATGCACATTTGTTATTATTATTTGGACATGAACTATCAATATGGGTACAATTTTCATCACTACAACCAAATGATGATTTTAAATTAGATAACCAAGCACGTAATTCATCAAGTGCACGTGAATTAACATCACGTACACCATTCCATAAAGCATCAATATCAGTACCATAAGCAATAAAACCTAATTGATCTTTATAAATTAATTGTTCATTAATTAATTCTAATAAATTTTTATGATATTCATCACCACGTCCAAAACTTGCTTGTATTTGACTAAAATCTAATATAACAAGTACACGTGCACCTTGTACAACACCAAAAACTTTTCGACTATTTTGTAATAACCATCGAATACGATTTGATAATGTTTCAATTGTTGTATGTAAACGACATTCAAAATCATTTATTGTTAATGAATCAAATGCAATATGTTGTATAGCACGACCTGTTTTATCACTTGTTGGTAATGAAACTTTACCTTTTGTTAATAAATCTTTTAATGTAAGACCATTTGGTATTAAACCATTTTGTGCTAACCAAGATTGTGATGGACGTGTTATAGAAAAATCTCGACTTTCAACATTAACACGATTTAAATCATGATAATGATTTATATGAGTTGCTTGTAATTCATCAGGAGGTACACCACGAGCAGAAAATGGTATGAAATCATGATCATTATCATGTTGATCGTATTGATGACGTTCATTATCACCATCATCATCATTTTCATCGATATTTATTATAGTTTCTTGTTCATCATCAGTTAATGATGTTAATGATTCTTCTGAATCTTCACCAATCGACATAATATCTAATTGAATTTTATTATTATTTTAAAAATCAGTCTATTTATGAATTGATGTTATTTGATAACAACCATTTTTAGTTTGTATTATTACCATCGACATACCTCTTTTGAAGTTACTCTTATATCATTTTCAAGTAGTTTTTATTTTGTATTAGTTCAGATATTTTCATAAGAATAATATTATTTTATCTTTGAATTCTTTTTGACAACTGTAGTTTATAATATAGATGTCGCCAAAAGTCGATCCCGAACTCGAATCTGACCGGGTTCGGGTTTGAGTCTGAATCTGGCTCTTTAAACATTTAGAATCCGATGGGCTCTAATTGAGATATATGTACTTTTTTAGTTGTATGAAACTTTGTTGTATAACGTTCCGTGTTAATCAAATGTTTTGTGAGCTATATTCATTTTTATTATTTTTCGAAGAATTTCTTATTTTATTCGTAGACTCTTTTTAAAGCCATTGAAACATTTTATAGATAAACAATCTATATGATAAGAACATGAAAAAGTGGGATAAAGTGTTCTAATACTTTGTTGTTTTTTTTTTATTTCTTTAAGAAATGTGTCACACTACTAAGATCTAGATTAATTTGTTAGTTGCATAAAGCTGAATAATAAATTAAAGTTTTGAATTGAAACGTAAGATAAATTTTTTGAATTATTAAATCAAATTGTCTTTTTTTTATGGACGAGCATTGAGAAGAACACGTGTAGCCATTGAAAGTGTTGTAAGATATCCTACAAGACAAGCAATAAATCGACTTGGTTGCGGTAAAGCAAACTAAAATATCCCAAAAAGAAAAAGAAAAACAAATATTTATAAATAAAAATACTAATCAAATTATACCTGATAGATAAGTGTATGTAATAAACGTGAAATAAAAAAGATTCGAAAATGCCAAAGAGCAACATTACGATCAGGATTAGTACCAACATAGAATACTCCAACAAGAACAAATGGTATGATATTTTCAATATCATTTAAATGATTACGACGAATACGTTCAACATCAGAATCACTTGTTGTAACAACTGCTGATTTATTTTTTGCTAATACAAGATCTTCAGGATTAGCAAAAACCTATAATAAAAATTAAAAACAAAAAAAAACATTAAAAGAAATATTAATTTAATTAAATCGTATCTTACATCTTTAGATAATCGTTTAGCAGATGTTAATAATGACATGCCCATCATTTTAACAACGGATGCCGTTGAATAAAAAGCAAAATTAGTAAAAACTGAATTATTAAGTGTATAATAAAGAATCGACATTGTTAGAAATTAATCTTTAATGGAAATTATTTGAAATAAATTTATTAGTGGTTTACTACGTGAATAGTAGTCAGTTCTCGTATACGTAAAGATACCTCAAATGAGAATAAAAAAATAAACGACACTCGAGATATAAAATGTGTAAGCACACCACAAGCAGACGCATATACATACATCATTCTCTCGTTCTTCTAACCAAAAGTAAGAAAATATTTTTCTATTGGATGGTATGTGTGTGTGTGTGTATGTGTCTACTCTTTCTTTTTCTTTTTTATTTCTGTCAGTAGATGACCTCCCCCCCTGGAGACAAAACTATACACACAAACAAGTCTAACAGAATAGAAAAAAAAATCCATTAATCTCATATATTCTATTGCGGTTGTATTATTACATTTCTACTCTTTTTTTTTCTGGGATAGACTACTTGTCTAAATGATTTATGCATGGTTATAGTCCATCATTCAACAAGATTCATGCGAACAAGCAAAAAATCAGCCGTAATAACTATTGATAAACATATTCTAGTTTATCTTTTATCTCATATGCTTTTTAATTAGACGATGGATTGTCTTTTAGTCTAGCGGTTAACTATGATCTTAGGTTGTCTATATGTATATAATGTAATAATAATGATTACTGTATTGACATCACAATAAACCGAATTTCCTTTCACATTGAAGCAACATAAATGTTCGAAGAAAGGATATACAATGCTTATAATCTTTTCTCTCAAGGTTACTGAAAAAGTATGTTTTTTGATGTATAAACAATCGGAAATGAATTGACATGCATGAACAAATAATAATAGGTTATAAAAGAGTCATTAGTTGTGCTATAAAACTATTTGTTTGATATATTGTGAAATTTTATACACGATATTAAAGATCACAATATTTTCTATCGATAGTTTTAATTATTAATGTAGAAAAGACAATAAACTAAGATTTATACGCATAACATCTGAATTTAAGCAGCTCACATGAAAAAAATTATTATGGAAATTTAGTTATTGAATATTATTAAAGAAAAGTAAATGCATTATTGTTTATTGATAATTATAAATTAATACACACATGCTATTTTTTTATTGTTCAATAATAACTATAGAAAATAAAAATTATCACTGAATAAAAAGTCATTGTTTAATAAATTTTCATAATATTTGTATGAATGATCCATGTTTATTCCTCTGTCTATAAAAATAAGAGATCATTTGATAAACAAAATGTTCAGAAATAAGAATAAGAAGTTATGAACTTTCAAATGTATATACGGGTAAATTGTTCTCATATTGTATCGTTTCAAGAAAACAATTGAAATCGTACAGTCGATAGAACTTCGTTGGTTCTATATATAAATCAAGTATTTTCTCAACTGTCAATTTTTGAATTTCGGAAAAAATTGAGTTCCATGGATAAAATGAATATTTTTCGAGATATTTTCTACAAAATAAAATTTCTGAATTAGTTTTTACATATTATTATCAGTTATCAATCGAATGATTTGTCACACGAGAATCCAATTTATCCGTATATATTCATGCATATCGTCAGGGTACGAAGATGTGAATAGCATGGTAACACGACAGTTGAGCCTCCAACAATTGAGCCCCGACAGTTGAGCCCCCGACAAATGAGCCTCGTAGGAGAAACAGATGAGAGAAATATAAAAATCAATATTAGATAAATTAGTGATCCAATATTAAAAAAAATGTGGAAACATGCGACATCTTATGGTTCCAGAAGTTCGTTTGCATCTATCTTCTCTAGTAGAGCAATCAAAAGTAATAGGACGAAAAAATTGTTCGAACTTTCTTCTAACATTTCTTGAATTCATTTGGAGTGTGGGTGTTGCTGAGAATCTACTATTTTCTTGAACGCAATCCCAAACCCATCTACACCCACACCCTTGATATTAATATAAAATAAATTTTTCTATTTCTTTAACTTGTTTCTTCTATGGGGCTCATTTGTCGGGAGCTCAATTGTCGGTAGGCTCAACTGTCGGTGGGCTCATCTGTCGAGGGCTCAACTGCCGGTGTGCCGAATAGCATCCTTATACGTTAATAATCACCCACTCTTAGGTCTCTCGATCATCCAAAGTATTAAGAATTCTCAGTAATTATGTGACAAAATCTCTCAATATGATCAGAGTCGATTGTAGTCAAAGAAGATGAAAATAACTTAAATTTTCTCAAAATTACTATTATCTCTAATCTTTCGGGACATGAAATGATCAAAGTGTATGTATATATGGTCAGACAATTTCTTTTACAGACCACATTTTAGTGCTGTTTAAAGACATGCTTCTAGGAAGAGCTTTCGAATTTGTTCACATATGTTTAGTTAATGAAAATTGATCCAACATTTGTGCAGGAACTTTTGCATGACATCTTAAATGTTTTCATCCTCAGAATTCAATGATACAATATCAGCATAATTCATCCATATTCTCTACTATTAATTAAGTTAATCCTATACTTTCAACATAAATTTGAATACTGAGGACACGCTAATTAGAACATGACAGGTACAAAATTCTCGAATTTGATAAGCTCTAATGCTGATGATCAAGTACCATCATAATACAATATTTCTTTTAAATCCTCCTTCTCGATTTATGGTCATTTTTATTGAGTTTTCAGCGTATTGTTAGTAGCATACAAACAAAAAGCCTGTAATCAAGAAGGTTCGTATGAAAAATTTTCATATAATAGCTGTTATGGTACTTATTATATACTGTAAATTTTTTGCTCAAGGAACCGTTCTTCTTCCGAGATAAGATGTTTCCAAAAAAATATAAATTTCTCACAAAATAATCTTTTTAGATATCCCATATCTTAACAGAAAGTAATTTATTTGAATTACAATTTTTCGGATACAATAAATACTCTGAAGTCTATTATTGTGCAAAACTCTTTATAGTAGGAAAATCTTTTTAAATATGAGCAAAGTATAAGATTATCACACTTGAAAAGATTCTTTGTTTAGATAAAATGGCGCGTGAGTCCATTTTATAATTAACTACAATAGATATGGATAATACAAAAGAAAGTATAGAAAGTCTTTATCATCAATATTTACCTGATATTGCTGAACTTGTTCATTTTCTACGAAGAAACAATATGAAACAGACGGAATTATGTTTTCGTCGTGAATATCATACATATGTTAATAAAATTTCATCAAGTAATGATAATCAATATGTTCGTAATTCAGCAAATGTTAATGATTATTTTACTGTTTATTCATGTCTATCAAATTTTATATTTAATTCTTCATATCAAATAGAACTTATACAATGTCTCTTTCCATTATTTGTACATTTTTATTTAGATTTAATTGAACATAATTATATAAATGAATGTCAACAATTTTATAATCAATTTATTCATTCAACATTTCAATTATTACATGAAGAATTTTTTTATCAATTAAAACTTATTTCAAAATCATCTAAACATCTTTATCAATGTCCATTAACAAATGCATTTCGTACAAGTCGATTTTTTTTACGTTTATCAATGACAAGTTGTAATGAATTACAAAATTTTATTGATTATACAAAAAATTTAAATAAATTAGATTCACAATTTTATTTAACATCATCACAAATTTCTTTACTTTTATCTATTTTTCAACAATATATTAAAGTTGATATTAATCAACAATTATTTACTCCATCAAATATTGTTCGTTTTCAAACTATTGAACAACCCAT